GCACCTTCTCACAGAAGCCACTCCTGTAGCCACCCGCTAGCAAAACCTCGCCACACAAACCCAATACAATAATTACAAAATATTGTGCACATATATTAAGGATGACAAAAGTGCTGCTGAATTCCGTTATCCAGGGATGCAAGTTGTGGGACATTCCGGCCTATGCAAAACCTGGATAACTCCACATATGGTGGGGAGCACAATATGAAGACGCTCAACCTTCGAAGTTATTCAGATGCCTCTGCACACCTTGGAGTCTACAGTACTGATTACCATAACTCCTATTATCCAGCACTTGAGCTCTGCATCACTTAAGAAACACACCTCCAAGGCACGTGATCTGCACAGCATGGAGCTATTAACATCTGGCCAAGCTGCCTGTCACGCAATAGATAGAGGTTGTACCTCTGGTTCAGAGCTGCCCCAGAAAATCATGGCCACGATCACAGGAGACTGCAGCTTGGCCAGACGTTAATAGCTTCACGCTGTGCAGCTCACGCACGTCAGAGGTGTGTTTCTGAAGTGGTGCAGAGCTCAAGTGCTGGATAATGGTAGTTCCAGTAATCAGTACTGTAGACTCCAAGAAAACTCACTCTGTCCTAGCCAAAACCACAGCAGGGCTAACATCCATGGAAGGATAAATCCATAACCTGAGTGACAGCGGATGTCCTGAAAGAGGACATCAAACTTTGTCAATAAATCAGAGATTAACCACGCAGACTTAGGGAGAAACAATTCCTCAAAGTATAATTTTTAAATAAATTTCAACAAATAGTGAGGTGTTTTTTTCGAAACATTGCTTTCTGTGCAAGAAGCAGGCTTGATATGGCCAGCTTGGCAAATCCCATGTTTCCACGAGAGAGAATAGCTTTGCAATCTTGTATTTGTCATTAAAACAGGCAAAAATAAAAATGGTACTGTGGTGATTACCGAAACACGAAGTCTGCACTGTCAATCTCCCGGCCACATCTGCTGTTCTTCAGAATTCCTCCATTCCCAACCACTGCGCATTTCTTAAACTGGGAGCGGTGGTACGGCATATCCTGCAACATCACAGCAAGGAAATGGTTAAATATCCCAAAACGTGAAGGCAACAAGTCTCTTTTTTACTTTCTCTTTTTTTTTCTTTTGTGCAGCTGCATCTTGCTGCAGATGCACTAAATCATAAGAAGTTGACACTGGTTCTGGACCACAGTATTCCCATGGCGTACATAAACGGATGGGATTGTTTCCTGTGCAATTAGAGATAGTATGGGCAACTAACTCAGAGGGGAAAAAAGTGATAACCTGATTTTGTCCAGATTTGATAAGTCTTTCCCTTCTGATTTCCACAGGAGGACATGAACCACAAAATTAGTGTAGCCCAGGCGTTGCCTTCTGAGCTGCCTGCAAACTGCTGGCTCCTTAGGCTTCGATGTCCTGCTTTTGAGGAGTCTGCACACATCATGCAGATTAGATATAAGGAAGAAATTCTTCCCTCAGAGGGTGGTGAGGCACTGGCAGAGGTTGCCCAGAGAAGTCATGGATGCCCCATCCCTGGAAGTGTTCAAGGCCAGCTTGGATGGAGCTTTGAGCAGCCTGATCTAGTGGAGGGTGTCCCTGCCCATGGCAGGGGGGTTGAAACTAGACGATCTTTGAGGTCCCTTCCAACCCAAACTATTCTGTGATTCTATGATTCTGTCATTCCAGAGCAGCTAGTAAAGCCCAAGAAGTCTCTCTAAGTCACGCAGCACAGCACTTTACAGCTATTTATCAGAACCTAGCCCAAATTTTAATGCTTGCTGCCACTAATTGTACTAATAGCGCTGATTATTAATTAGCACTTCTACTACCAGCAGTGCCTAGAGCCTCTGGTCAGGCACCTTTCTGGACTTCTGTAGGACACATCTTTCCGCAACCTTCAGGCAAAATTCTGCCTTCATATGCAGACATGCAGCTGCTGCTGAAGCAGGAGAGAGTGGAAACCACGTCTCCAAGAAGGGAACGGGGCTGTTAGGGCGAGAGGGTTGTGATGCAGAACTGAGCCGCGCTGCACCTCATGAATATGTAGAGATGTGCTTACATAAGCATGAGAGCGCTCATTCTGGCACATACATATTTTATCAATAGCTTCATACCACGAACTACGGAGTGATGTGATAGTGGCATGACATTTCTAGGTGATTATTCCCAGTATCTTTCCATAGCATTCATAAGCCATGAGGCAAAAGGGCATGCAATTATAACTATTGGAGGAAAGCAGCAGCTGTCTAACAGAAAGACATTATAGAGTTGTCTGTGCTTTGTGCGGTGATTTCTTAACACAAAATGCCTTGGCAGTCCCTTTCGGGGAGATCAGAAGCCAGGTCTTGGCACTCAGCACAAGGCTCTTGCCCTTTCAGTCTTGCTTCCATGCTTTCAGCCCTTTATCTCCTACATCTGTCATGCTGCAGCCCTGCTCCTAGGCAGAGGGTGGCTTTGGCCACCCAGGTGCTGCCCAGTGAATCCCAAAAGCACTTTGGCATGGGACAGAGCCTGCAAAGCATCCTCAAGGCATGCCTAGACAAATACAACAGCAGTTATAGAACACACCTACCAAAAGCGTGGGTGTCTAGTCTGTGTATTCAGGCAGGGTTTTGAGGACAATACTCCTGGACTTACATGTATCCATTCTTTGCACATCTCCACATGCCAAAGTGTTTTCCTGGTTCTGAGCCTTTCCCCTGTTCTGCCCCAGCTCCCCATGTGCACGTTTAGGTAACAGCACTACCTACTACCCTAGTAGTGCTCAGAGAAGCAAACAGATTAAAAGTAGTTAGACTTTGAAGGACAAATTTAACGACAGAAACCCAAGTACCTAACTTGAATATTTTCTGAATTTCTGAAACGGATACATTTCAGTTATCTCCTCCAGATATGTAATTTTAAATTCACGAGGTGTGCTCCAAGATAAATCAGTAGGCACATAAGCCCACTTCTGCAGGTCAGCCACCATGTGCGATGGGAACTACCCATGGTTATAACTTTGAATGACCCTCCAGTCAAGGATTATTTGCTGAAAAGTTTTTGAATAATTATCGTGATTAATATATTTTAAAATTGTGCAGCCTGTTGACAGATAATCTGCACACAGAAATAAGTATAAAAATAGTCAGTCATTGTGAATAGGAATTATAAAATAGTCACGCTCAAAAAAAAGCAGACCTAACCCAAATGTTGTATTTATTGTATGTGAATATTGTACTTTAAAAAGTTCTGATCAGTAAGTGCCTCTTTTATTCAGCTTGCTTAAGTTATTTCATTAGCCCCTTTTCTGCTAGATCAGTAATATTCTGATATATATAGCATGCTAGAGTAGGTGACCACTAGAGAATAGGATAATCAGCTGAAATGTCATATCAAAAATAAACATTTTAAAAGTATAAGCAATGATGTTTGTCGAACTGTGTAACAGCCAAATGCTAAATGCTTGGCTATAGGATAGCATCTAATGCAGCAAACAGAGTGAAGTTGATTCTGCAAATTAACAGAGGCATGAGGCACCTTTGGAAACATCTTGAAGATTTCTTGGTTGATATGGAAGATTCCACTAGTATCCACTTCATATTTCAGTTTAGTTCCCAAGGGTGTATTTTTCTGAGTGGTGAACAGAAAGGCAGGGGCATTGCAACACCTTGACAAAGTAGATCTGTAAAATGAAAAAGAGAGAAATAAGATCCAGGAGCTGATCACATGCTTTAGCATTTGCAATTACTATTACTCCTAACAAGGCATTTTTTCAGCAAAAAGAGACTTATCAGCTGTAGGAGGGGTAAAACAGTGGTTTGTTGGATTTTCCTTTAGAAAATTTCAGATTCAGTGAAATTTTACTTGATTGAGGAACATATGATTAAAAAAAATAGAAGAAATGAGATCCCTGTACCTGTCGCTTCTAGGCAGCAGGAAACACATGTGCAAAATCTGCCCTGCTCCAGACCCCAAAGCTGAGCTTCTGCCCACCATATCCTGGGAAAATCGCCCTAATTAATCACTCTCTCTCTGCTTTAGAGGTCTTCCACGTTTTGTAAATCATTTTCTCATCACTGGACAGGAAATGCAGTGGTTAAAGTATTCATCTGAGGATGTGGAGGCTTGGCAGGGCAGGGATTTAATCTCAGGAATACCTCAAGACTTACCAGACTACTGTGGACCATGACACATGTCGATTACAAAAAAGCTTTTAAAGGTTGAAGTTTTGACTTTGACCTTGCATATGTGCACCAGGGAGATGATGTGGGCCCAACAGATGGGTGCCAGGCAGACTAGTCATGGATACAACTCCAAAATCTCAGACAAATGGCCAAAACTTTCCTTGTCACTGGGAAAAAATGGCAAGTATTCCAATGTAAACAAGAACTGTTTTGAAATCTCAAAAGTAGGATTCTTGGCATGACAGACAACCTATTCAGCTCTGACATGAAATTTAAATAGGAAAATAGGGGTCCATTTCTTAGCTCCCATCTTTCCCTGAATGCTTTTGTCCGTTTACTGGTGGAGTTGAAAGCCCTGTCTTCAGCTTGCTCTTAGAATCATAGAATCATGGAATGGTTTAGGTTGGAAGGGACCTCAAAGATCATCTAGTTCCAAACCCCCTGCCATGGGCAGGGACACCTGCCACTACACCAGGTTGCTCAAAGCCCCATTCAACCTGGCCTTGAACATTTCCAGGGATGGGGCATCCATGACTTCTCTGGGCACCCTGTTCCAGTGCCTCACCACCCTCTGAGGGAAGAATTTCCTCCTTATATCTAAGCTAAATCTACCCTCGTTCAGTCTAAAGCCATTGCCCCTAATTTCTCTGTATTCTTCCCAGGCTACCTGTCCTTGCTTCCACCCTCTACAGGCCATCTTTTTGCACCCGAGTTGGTCCAGGAGCTCCTTGTTCATCCATGCGGGCCTCCTGGTGTTCCTACCTGACTTTCTCTTTGTTGGGATGCACCGCTCCTGAGCTCAGAGGAGGTGATCCTTGAATATTAACCAGCTTTCTTGGGCCCCTCTTCCCTACAGGGCTTCATCCCATTGTACTCTACCAAGGAGATCCTTGAAGAGGCCGAATTCTGCTCTCCTGAAAGCCAGGATAGTGAGCTTACTGTGCACCCTCCTTGCTTCCCTAAGAATCTTGTACTCCACCATCTCATGATCACTGCAGCCAAGGCTGTCCTTGAGGGTCACGTTCCCCACCAGCCCGTCCTTGTTGGTGAGAACAAGGTCCAGCAAAGCACCTCTCCTCGTTGATTCCTCTACCACTTGGAGAAGGAAGTTATCACCCATGCATTCCAGGATCCTCCTGGATTGCCTATGCCCTGCTGTGTTACCCCTCCAACAGTTATTGGGGTGACTGAAGTCCCCCATGAGGACCAAGGCTTGTGAACGTGAGGCAGCTCCTATCTGTCTGTAGAGGGCCTCATCCACTTGGTCCTCCTGGTCAGGTGGTCTGTAGCAGACCCCTACTACTATGTCCCCTGTCCCTGCTCTCCCTTTAATCCTGACCCATAAGCTCTCAGTTGGTTCCTCATCCATCCCCAGGTGCAGCTCCATGGACTCCAGCTGGTCTTTGACATAGAGGGCAACCCCTGCTCCTCTTCTCCCCTGCCTATCCTTCCTAAAGATCTTGTATCCTTCTATTCTGACACTCCAGTCATAGGATTCATCCCACCACGTCTCCGTGATGCCAATAAGATCATATTCCAACAGGCAGGCACACAATTCTAACTCCCCTTGCTTATTCCCCATGCTGCGTGCATTAGCGTAGAGGCATTTAAGTTGGGCCCTAGATGGATCTGACTTCCTGGCTGGAGCAGCTGGAATTCCTTTATTCTGTTCTTCAGTTACTTCCAGCGTATCTTTATCAATCTTGATGTTATCCCCCTCCCCCTTTGAGTCTAGTTTAAAGCCCTGTCAATGAGCCCTGCTAGCTCTTGCACTAAGACCCTTGTTCCCCTCTGAGAAAGACAAGTCCCATCTGGTACCAGTAGGCCTGGTGCCATGTGGCCCATGCCATTGTCAAAGAAGCCAAAATTGTGGCGATGACACCAGCCATGGAGCCACATATTAATCGACTGGATGCATTTGCTCCTTCCAGTGTCACTGCTTGCAACTTACTCCAGAGCCGGTTTGTTTCTCAGTCAATGCATCTCATACTTTTAATGAAAAACACACATCATGGCGAATGCACAAACCTGAGGATGAAGCCAAATGGCTTTCAAATAACCTAAATTAAATACCTTGCCTCTGGGGTATGTGGCCTCATTACAAGTTGGAAGAATAAGCCAGTCTTCTTTACGGGTTTTATTACAAGCACCAGAAAGCAAATACAGAATTATGCAAACATTTCCGTGATGTCCAATTGCTATTATATCCTTGACTCAAGCAGAATGACACAATGTGATTATTAGATCAAGGCAGCAATTGAGACTCAATAAGTCAATGAATAATTTCTAATAACGAAATAATTAAATAATTACAAGCAGGTAGGGCTTCGATCAGCACTAATAATTACTTCCCAGGTAGTGGGATCGAATTGTGATATTTGAGATACAAAAAACCCTCTTCATTAGTTCTGCGTTGAGGAATTGAAAAAGATGTTGATCTTTAATGTCCAATTGGTTTTCCAGAAATTGGTTCCTTAATATAAATGTCTGATATCTGATGGAGGACGATTGTCAAGGAAATTGTTTTCTTTCCAGATAAAAAAGCTAGTGTGATTTTTGTGCTTACTCCCTCTCTGCCCTTTAGGCAGCTGCCATTTAATTTTTGCTGGATTCTCCCCATCTCACCTGATGGTCCAGAACTGGCAAAATTCAAAAGCCCACAGTTCAGTGTTGTTAGACCACCTTCTTTTAACCTCCTACTAGTCCACCTCCAAACTCAGAGACTGGTATGTTTTTAAGGCACTACAGTTTCCCCACACATTCACACACTGAAGTCTTTGTCCCGTAAGAAAAAAATGAAACTGACTTTGAACTTCTGTTTTTTTTTCATTACTAGCATGATTGTTGTTCCTGGAACCAGCTAACAGAGGTGAGGTTACATATAGGTGCCAGTGGGAATTTCCTTAGTGATCTCTCAGTCAGGCAGGTACAGCCAGTGACAGGAGTCTTTCACCTCTTCTTTCTTTCAAAGCACTGCCTGGGATGGAGAGGGGTTCTTTGCTTAACGTGCTGGTCTTGATGGCCTGAGAGACAGTGATGGTCCTCCTGGTGGTCTTCATGTAGTCCTTTCTCGTTGCTCTCACCTCTGAGCTGGTCTCCACACTCTAACATGCTCCACGCGCTCTGGGCACAATCATTAATTCTCTTACTCCAAGCAGTATTTAAGACAGTAGGTGTTAATCCTGAATGGCCCTTGTCTTCAAAATGGACTATTACAATTGCCCATCAAGCAATTTCCAGAAAAAAAAAAAAAACCAACTAAAAAAACTCAAAAAAAAACCCTTATATGTGGAGCTCATGGTGGAAAAACTCCTGTGAGCCTGGGACTAACAATTAGTTATTTTTAAAGATGTTAATGACTAACTCAGCACATGCATTCTCACATTCTCTCATTAACTCGTGACAGCTATTTCCTGGAACCATGCAAGAGAATTTGGGAGAAAGTTGTGAGGTCTTATTCAGAGCAACAGCTCTGAATCATGCCGGTGACTTACAGGCTGAATCAGTCTATATTCCACTTACTCTGAAATAATGTGGTTTGTCTAGACCTACTCAGATATGGCCTTTGAATACACCAGTATACAACATTCAGTACTGTCTTGTCTTCATTCTACTATTTTCTTCACAAGACCAATTTCAAAAGTTGTATCTTGAAAGGACCATGGACAACCTTCAGCAAAGAGGAAGTCACATGAAGAAAGACCAAGTACTACAGAAACAAACTGCAGAGGCCTCTGAAGACCAGAAAAAAATATCTAGATAGTTCGGGAGTAATAGCTGAGAAGCCATTAAAAAAAAAGGAAGGGATAAACAAGGTCTGACAGTATCTTATACACCACAGAAAAAATCCAGTTTGGGTATTTTGTAGGCCAAATTTGCAGTATCACCAATGATATTACCATTTTACACCACCAGACAGTTAGGTTGATGTATCAGGTGCAGCCATTAACTTTACGCTCCATCCTTACTTCTGCCCGAATCATACCTGGAAACATCTTTCCCATACTAAATTTCCTGCCATTTCTGGGAAGACTGTCCCACACACCAGAAGAGCTCTCTGTCACTCGTACCGTTGATTTTTTTAAAGTAGAGAAAACTCTATATTTATTCAAAAAGACGGTACTCCAACAGTAACAGTGTTATAATGCTTACTCTTGCTATCCATAGGAAGGTTTGATCTCTCTACAGGAAGCTGAATTCATACTAAAGCAAATCTTACTCAGCCTCATTAATGTGGACCATTCTTACTTGAATAAATTAGCTTCTGTGACGTTCATCTCCCATTTGCACATCTGTAGGCTCTTCCATCTGTCAAACAATTCGGTTTGTTTTACCCTGAAAGACAAAAAGAAAGAAAATAAAAATACACTTTATTACAAGGGCTCCTTTTCCTAAAACAGCTGTAGGCAAGGTACCACGCAGTAGGCTTTTCATAGGGCAAATCAGTCGGTCTATCCAGTGCGAAATTTATCATTTTTATTTCTTCTGCTGCTCAGACACAGCAACTCTAAGCCATGTATACACAGGTACTGATGGAACTCTTCAGATGTTTGGGACTGACTTCTATTCCCTGATAGGCATTCTCCACTTCTTCAGGATAAAAAAAAAATGCAATATCGAGTAAGAAGCATCTGCTGTACCAAAGTCTGTTCGGACTCTGCTGGGAAGCTAATGAGTGTCTTTTGGGAAAAAGTTACACCTAGCAGAAGAGCCTAGCAGAGTGGGTACTGGAGAAGAGGATACTTTAGATAATTCAGCCAGTTACCATTACATTTTGGAGAAGTTATCTGAATTCATGAGACCCACAGAACAGCACTGTTGGTAAATCCATTTATAAACCGCAAAAGCAAAAAAACGTCTGTGATGGTCAGAGGACATGAAAAGCTCTTTATATAAGGATCTCTCCCTCTGTAATAAATATACTTTTAGTTATATCAAAAAATGATATTGCTATTTCTACTAGGCTGATACAGGATGACACATTTTTGGTGATATCAATTCCAACCACTTCTGCCTTAGAGTTCATACATATTCTTCTGTATTTGCATGGAAGCATGGAAGCAGGGACTGGTAACCTGGGATGAGTACAAGCAAGTTGCTCGTGTACTCAGAGACCAGGTTAGAAAAGCGAAG